TGTATTGTATGTATATATATATATATATATATATATATATATATATATATATATATATATATATATATATATATATATATATATATATATATATATAATTATATATTTATGCAAACAAATATAATTGAATTCATATAATAGTTTTGTTTGTGGAAACACCACGTAAATTTATTACTGCAAAGCTTTCGATCCGTAAACCCGGATTTTCATCAGTGTTAATAATATGTATTGTTATATAGCTAGTGTGAACACCAAACGTGATTGGCTGATTTGTAGTCACGTGGCTTTAGATAAATGCAATGTATGCCGCCCGGGCAATAAGTGAAAAATTGTTGCCCACCCCGACCGGCTATACGTACATAAATAAACAAAATGGCGGCACAAATTTATACTATTTAAACTACTGTTTTCGTGGCTTCGTGTTAAAATAAAGAATGTAAAAGAGAAGAAAAATACATAACTGGCAACAGGATATGCTGCTGAAACCATTTAAGTAGGTTTTTTAAATTTTAAACTCGTTTACGCTATAGAGTTTTTGTCATGAAATACTAATATTGTTGTATGAATGTTGTTCAATGTTGATATTTGTTTCGTCGCTATATAACAAAACACTTAACAAACCTAACAAAACTAACTATTTCCCTCGGGTGCAGACATTAAGTGTATAATAATTGCTAATACTGACGAAAATCCGGGCTTACGGTCGAAAGTTTTGCCGGTAATAAATTTACGTGATGTTTCCACAAACAAAACTATTATATGTTTCGCCATGCATGCAAACGTACAAAGAACTTAAATATTGAATTCGTTTTTTTCGATAGTTTCAACTCTGGATTTGTCGCCTTCGGCTTGACTGATACCTTGCATGCATGACCTTGATAATTTCGGATATCAGAAAAACCTCATCAAATAACTTATTTTATTATACATTGTAGTTGGTAAAAGCAATTTGATTGGCTAAGAGCTTACAGTTAAATCGCGCAATCACGCAACCTACAGAAAATTCAGTTATCTGCTAGCAGATAACTCAGTTATCTGCAAATGAGCCTGTGATGATTAGGAAGCGGTATCTATTTACAGTTAAAATACAAGAACCTTCCGACTTCCGCAACTTGTTAATTTCTGTAATTTGTTCTATTTTCTGTAGCGATTTTTGTCGGCAAATATCGCGGTAGAATTCCCCTTTCTTTCCTTTATATACGTCAATTTGTAGCAAAGGATACACCTTTCGTTAGATTCTTTGCATAAAAGTTGTGAAATTTTAGTACGTCACTGAATGATTGTATTCGGTAATTTTAAATTTGTATAGTATGAACACACTAGGCGGCGGTTTAAAACCGACTTATCAACAAATATCGCTATAAGATCTAAGTTTCGCAACTTTTATGCAAAGAATCTAACGAAACGAAAGGTGTATCCATTGCTACAAATTGACGTTTATAAAGGAAGGAAAGCGAAATTCTACCGGATCCTAACGCGATATGTGCCGATAAAGCGGTAATCGCTACAGAAAATAGAACAAATAAATACGAAACAAGTTACAGAAGCGGGAAGGTTCTTGTATTTTGACTGTAACACAAACAAATGTATAATAAAACAATTATTGAATTCGGTTTTTGCGATATACAAAATTATCAAGGTCTCGGTAAGCGTTATCAGCCTCGCCTTCGGCTCGGCTGATAACGCTTACCTCGACCTTGATAATTCCGCATATCACAAAAACCTCATCCAATAATTGTTAATTATTAAAAATATTGCTCTATTTATATTATAAACTGTACCTTGAAATTTGCCCTGTTTTTGACTTGCGATGCCAAAGCATTATTAATAGCTTTATCAAACTGCAGCAAAACTTGCAGGGCAAGCTTGGGACTTATTTGTTGCGACTATTATAAGAAAAAAGAACTTTTTTAATATGGTTTTAAAACCATGAGGCATATTTGATCAATAATTTGCCAATTTGTAATAAAACTTTATATATTTATAGAATTATAGATAGCTAAAAGAAATGCACTCGGATGAAATATTTCACCTGTATTAATTCATCCAAGCTCTCCTGTAGGCTGTTTCCCAACGTTGTATTTCGGTATAGTTGATAACTCATTGCGTTTCCTCCTTCCTTCGTCCTTTATATATGAAGCCCTCTGCTTTTTAACTGCCTTATTTGGTCAACACTTCAGGACGCCATCTTGGATTTACCATATATGGCAACCGGTACCAAACGCCGGGGATTTAAGTGTGACGAAGGGGTAAATAAGTCCGGTATAAAAATAATTGCCACTTGCTCTTGCGCCCACTGCTAATACCTTCTCATCAAGCCCGTAGAGGAGGGGGAGGGGAGCGGGCTGCTGGGGGGCAGTGCCCCCATCCGGAAATAAAATATGAAATAATCCCCCCTCCCAAAATTTGTTCCTCTGATTTTTGTCATTTTTGCATCTACTGATTTTCAATTACGTCCGTGGATGTCGCAAACAGACAGGTGATGATGTATTGATGACGTATTGATGTAATGCATTGCGGGCATAGAAACTGTGAGCTAATTAACAACTAGACAACGAGGCCGAGTTGTCTAATTGTTTTAGTATAAACTTTAACATTAATTTACAACTAGGCTGCAAACACAATACAAAAATACACAAAAAACATTATAAAACCATTAAAGGTAAACAAATATTTTAGTAAACAAATGTTTTACAAAATTCAGTTTTAATTTTAAAATTTCATTGAGTGTATGTTATTTTGTCTATTTTCTTACCCTTAAAAATTGCCATTCCATATTTTTGTTGTTTTTTTTCGGGGTTTTTTAGAACAGAATTGTTCAACAAGTCGTCCAAAAAATCATCAGACACTTCGGCAAAAGTGCAAAAAGCGAATTTTCCGCCATTTGGAATTTTCTATTAGTAGGCTATCACTAATAGCCTACTAGTAGCGTAGCCAATCAGAAGGCACGATATGTGATAGCCTACTAGTAGGTTTATACTAAAGTCGGTTATCTGCGGTTAGTTCCGCTGTTGTCCATAAACCAAGACAAAAACATAGATAATGTCTACCATGTCCCTGTCGAGTTTCCTAACCTTCTTATTCTATTGACTATGGGATTTGTAAATGACCTAAGCAGGAGCAGTTGCGACTCTATCTGCTATCTGCCCTCTGGCAGCACAGTCTGGCAGGAACCCTCGAACCTGCGGCCCAGCTGCAAAGGCCAGTTGTCGAGCTGGAGAACTCATTGAGAGAACCACACCCTAACTGAACTTGCCGTATCAAGGATTGGTTTGGTCCTGAAAAAGCGGAGGAAAATAAATATAACAAAATTTTTAATTCTCGTTTTCAAACTACAACTATACGAGCGGACCATCATGGCGGACAGTTCTAATTTTGTGAGCTCTACAAAATTCCATCAAAATATCCCGAAAATATGGAACGCTAAAGAAATTTGTAATCATATAGCTTCTTCCAACTTAAGTTATGA